GCTACATTCATGCTGTATTCAGGGATAAGTATGGCTCTTCTTACAGTGCTGGACTTCTTTCCCAAATACGGGCTTTTTACTCTTTCCTCCCTTGGAGCAAAAATAACTGTCATTTAATGCCTTTTAAGAGCATGAAACTTTTCTGTAGATGTTCTTTTCTTTGTGGTACTTCTTTCAAAGAAAAGCTTATACAATTGTGGGAAACAGGGAATGGTAACAGGTAAAGGCGAGAGAGAGAGAGCAAAATATATAGACAATATCACATGTGTATAGGTGCTTAAGTGTAGTACTGTAACCCGTGTTAGCACATAACTTTATAAACTGTGATATTTTTATTCTTGTGGGACCCTGCAAGATGTAGGGGGTAGTAATCTTTGTTCTTCAGACTCAGCTCCAAAGTTTCCCAGCAATCTAGAGAAAGCTGCGTTTTTCTGCTCGGAGAAAGAGGGAAGCAAAATGGATTGCAGGGAAGAGGAGAGGTGAATAAAAGGAGTTTAGGGGAACTAGACAGGCTCAAGAGAGCATAGGGAGTGTTGTAGAAAAGGGGGTAGGGTAGGGATGGGAGTAGGAGTATCTTCCTTTGTGCCTTTACGCCAAACCACTCAGTCTTCTGGAAGCACCCTTCTTCTCTAGTGAAGCGATGTTTTTAAGGAAGGGGAAATAACTCGTTCTTTACACATAAATACTCAAGAACAAAAACAGTCACTTCTGTAAACCTGTGAATTAATGCTATACCTTTTTTTTTTTTAAGGATTGTTTCTTGAGAAAGACATTTTAATGTAATTATAAGCTATCAAGAAATAGGAAAGAATTTTTCATTTTATATGGAGGCCTGAATAAACAGATCCATTGAGAGAGAGACAGAGCAAGTCACTTGGAATGCACCAGTCGACAGCAGAAATGTAAACATACTCCAGCTACGCAATCTGCACTTGTATTCATGTGCACAGAACAAAACTGCTATTAATGCAGGCTGACTGCTACTCTTGTTGAATTCAGTATTGAGTCCATCACAAAATCCAGTTTAATTCACAGACTGTGGATCAGAACCACATTGTATCTGACACTCTGGAAACCTAGGAAGGCAGGAACTTGCTGCAAAGGAGTCTCTGGTCCATCTTAATATGAGATGTGTGAAGTTGGTTTGCAGAGATGAGTAGGTTTAAAGTAACAGCAAGTGAATAAAATGCTGAGTCCAACAGGTCTCTGTCTCTGTGTTCCAACATGTTCCTGCAACCTTATCTCACAGATACATAGATCTACCATGTGCTTATCTTCATGCAGTACCAGTCCTAATGAAGTAGCATCCACTAAGACTGTTACTTAGTGGATCGTGATAAGTTGCAGAAAGCACCTATCAGAATTTGTCAGACTTTTAGCCTTTAAAGGGTAGCAAGTTACTGGAAAAAAAATGTGTAAAAATCCAACACAATTTGGTTGGTTGTCCTGAAACTTGACTTACTCTGGCAGCTGTAGGGTAGAGGTATTAATCAGTCTGTGTTTAAAAACAAAATATCTTCCTCATCATATCTCTTGATGATTTTTGTTTGGGTTTGTTTGTCATCTCGATACAATGATTGTTACCAAACCTGATAGTGTGATGTCATAGTTGGTATTATTCCTGGGTATAAAAATGTATTTTATTTATGAGGAGTGTGTAACAGTGATACCAAGAAGGAAGGCTCAGTCACAGATAGAGGTAAGATCTATCCTCCAAGAGACTTGGCTATCTGGAAAGCAGGTCTGACATGCAAGAATCTTCAACTTGCACTGGTAAACTCTTGGCAGATAGAATTTCCTTGACTGTAAAAGGCTTCTTATGGCATTTTTCTTTTTCTACACCTTTTCTTTTGATTGGGCTTTGAGGGACCTCAAAAAGCAGCATTAGATACTGAGCTGCATGATGAAATTCCCTTGCCTAATTTTCTCCATTTGCAGTATTTCTTTGCACCTTTTACAGGTCCTTCTTATTTGACTTTGATTAAGTCACTTCTTTCTTCAGCTGCAGATCTATTATAGGGTCGAAGAAATTGTCATAGTGTCTTGTCCTGTCTCATGATTGTGAGGTACTGCAAGTATGTTTCATTGGAATGACAGAGACATAGTACAGCATAGTCAAATCAAACTGAGCAATAGCTTCCTTACATGTTTAAAAATAAAAGATAAATACTGGTTTCATAAGGCAGATGAACCTTAGTTGCTGAATGTTTATAGGACGTTTTGAGATGGTCAGAGACAAGGACCTGTGCAAATGCAATATTTTATTCAAATATTTAATAAGCAGATTCTCTGACCCAATAGTGGGAACAAAGACGCCTGTCCACTCTTAATTTTCCCTGCCCATAATTATTTCTACAGAACATAAATTACATATTGTACAGCTTTTTGTTTTCAGAGGATAATTATACTAGAAATTCCAGCCTTCTTTCTGTGGAGGGACCTCTTTCTCAGAAACCACACCTTGTAGCAGCCTGTTTTTCATTTGTGAAGGGCTGAATTCCCATTTATGTCAACAAGTTTTTATGTATTGACTACTTTCAAAAGATGGATGCAGGTAAAATGGGAAGCTCTTATTCACAAATCAGAATAATTCAGTCTGAAATATGTATTGGAAGCTGATGCTATAGGGGTGGAAGCTTTTTTGCATGTGAAATGTGTTAGAAATTACTCCTAATTTTGTGCCTGCTATTGTAACTGAGAGAGGAGCCCGTAATTCTTGTAGTAGTCGTCTGAATGTCGCGAGTGGTATCTCCATGCTGAGGGGAAACTTGGACTTGGTTGCGAATGAGGCAAGGTAGGATGCAAAACAGACTGTACTATTTGCTCTGTGTATGAGATTGGAGGCTTTAATGGATATATTTACATAAGCATTTAAGGAGTTTATTAAACTGAAAGCCAAAGTCTTAAAGTGCTGTTCTCAACTCAGTTGTAACATACCAGGAAGAGCAAGTCTTTCATTCTCCAACATAAAGACTGATGGACCCAGTATGCTTTCAATTTCCTAAGGGCAAACTACTGTTTCAGAAATGTTCCAACTTAGTAATAATCTAATAGTCACGCTTCACTGTTTTTAACATGCACAAGTAACAAAATTATATTCCCATGTGAGTAACTTTAGTAAGGGGGTAACAGCAAGGAACCTGAATTCTCTTTAAAAAAAAAAAAAATCATAACCCTGTTCAAGTCTTCTGCTGGAAAAGTTTGTTTGTTTTGTTTTGTTTTTTCTGTAGCTGTGGTGTACTAAAGGCTTTTTTTTTTTTTCATCATTGCATATGCAAAATCCAGACCTGCAGAACTGTTCCATGTGGTGAACAGTCTGCTGTACCCAGACTGTTTTGCCTGAGTAGCAGATTTCCATATACCTCATTATGAGTTTGGGCTTTTTTGATTTATATAGGCTCTGTTCCTTCAAAGGGATGTACAACTGTAGACCTTTATACCTACCAAAGTGATATCTTATCAAGTACTGAGGAAAATACAAGGGCAGGTTCTGTTAGAGAATAAGAGCCCTATTTTGCAGAGAAGAACCTTCTTTCTAGCCAGTTCAATCTTTCATGGAAACAGCATGTAAACAAAGTAACTTAGCTTTTGAAGCTTTTTAATCATACCCAGCAAGGTTCTGGATGTTCAGTGAATGATGTAAGCCACAACGTGTAATGCAAATTCATACCTGTTTTGATTGGTAAAAGACTATAAGAAAGATTTAGGTCAGTACTGCTAAAAGAAAGTAGCATGGACTTTAGCTGGTTGTTGCCTTATACAACCTGATTTAAATAAAAAGTGCTAGATCTTTCCACACCAAAGAAGCTGTTATCTGCAGCAATATCACGCATGCTTCAGTCTTCCATCCTATGATAAAGGCAATTGATTAAGCTGTCTAAATACATCTCTGAAGTTCTGTTATCTCTGTGGATTCCTACCATTCAGGTTTCTAGTCTGTATGGACAGAGTTACTATCTTTGTTCATATTCTTTCCTTCTGGACATGAACAAAATCATAGAATTGGGGAATATAATCATAAAACCATGTAGACCGGAGAGAACCTCTGGAGGTTATCTGGCCAAGCCTCTCCTCAGAGCAAGGCCAGCTTAGATTAGTGTGCTCCTGGCAGTTGTTCAGCTGAGCTTTGAGCACCTCCGAGGATGGAGATTCCCCAGCCCCTCTGGGCCTGTCTTCCAGTATTTGATTACTCTCATTGTGAAAACGTTTTTCCTAGTAGCTAACCTGAACTTCCTTTGTTGCAACATGTCTGCGTTGCATTTCATCCTGTCACTGTATGCTTCCGAGAAGACTCTGGCTTCATCCTCTTTATATTGTTCCATTAGATAATTGAAGGCATCAATATGCCTTCAGTAGCAATATTCCTTCAACTCCCCTCTTCAGTATCCCCCCCCCTCCCCAGTGTTCTCCTAAGACTGAACAAATCCATTTTTTTCAGCATGCCCCCTTCATTTTGTGTACCTAATAGTCTTTCTGGCCCACTGCCTCCTGAATCTAGGAGGTTAACATCTGTATTGTATTGGGAGGCCCAAAACTGGAATAGGTGGCATGATTGGCATTCGCATCTGACCATCTATTATTCTTCAGTCCAAATTATTTTACTACTTCTTAGCTGTTTTGACTGAAGGTGGCTTTTTGGGTAACTCAAAATTCAAAGTCCTCTTGTCCTTCAACAGGAAGATATCTAAACTACAATGCTCCACATCTTATTGATGAGGCCTAAGAAACAGAACTGTTTACAACAAAATAGCTTTTTCCTGAGAGAATGCTTTACATTAGTGATAATCTTGATTGAAGTAGTTTAATTATAGTGGGTCATGGTGTATCCTGTTTTTATAGATGGTATCACTCAATACTTTTTGTATCGCCACAGCATAAAATACACTTCCTTATCATGGCCCCCTGACTTAAAGCATAGGGTGAGAGGACAGTATAGAAATCACTTTCAAATCCCAGGGACTGTATGTGTAATGTACTGTTAAATTAACTTCTATTTCTAGTGCGCTTGGAGGATCATCTGCCCTTCACATCCCAGCTTTTCCTGGTGGAGGTTGTCTTATCGACTACGTACCCCAAGTATGCCAGCTGCTAACAAACAAGGTAAGTTAGTAAAGAGAACTCGGTTTTCCTTTCCCGTATGTGCTGTACTGTAGTGCAGTAACACACTATAGCATTTCCATAGATACAGTTTTTCTTCTGCCAGGCAGTCCAAGCAGGGCATACTTAAGGTAAGCTACACAAAGGATACCTTGTTGATAAGAGTTGAGCACCTGCGCAGGACATTGAATATAATGACTCTTTTAGGTAAAAAAACATGCTTGGGATCGGATCCTGGAGTGGATTTTTCTTCTTGTGACATGTTGGGGTTTAGGATAAAATGTTATTGTATCATACGATACTGCGTTGTAGCATACTCTTTTGCTAGTAAATACAAATATGTAGTTTGCATATTATTTTTCCAGTTGGAAGTTCTCATACCATAGTCATCATTCTAGATTTTGAGTATTTTCAATGATTTTCTTCTCGGATGTTTCATCCAAATGAACTGAATCAGCAGACTATTTGGATGTTTATAGAGTAATAGCTACTTAAGGTTGCTGAAAAGGTTGTGTTCCGGTTAGCTGACTGTTTAAACAAAAAAGAGTGAGTATAATATTTTGAAAGCTTCTCCATTATTTAAGTGCAATTGTCAAAAGAAAGCTGAGAGGCCAACATCTAGGAATCTGCCTATTACAGACCACCTATTTGTATTTGTGTATTATTTTTACCTTTGATTGTCCAAATGAGGAAAATAATTTTATCTTTTAGAAAAAGTTTTTCAAAATGTGTTTCCATAATTATATTGGAATCTGTCTTTAAAGTTGTTTTGTTGTGGTCTTCTGCTAAAATTACTTTCCGTTTTTAAAATCTGCAAGTACACAGGACTGTTTTTATCCTTTCTTAAACAAAGTCCCTTAAGCAAACTTATCATATGTTTTCCTTTTCCCAAAATAACATTTCAGATCCCACACAAAGCCTTCAAAATAATTGTAGTTTTCATAAAATTAAATACGTCTCAATTTATAAATAGAATTTAACTTTAAGAGGTACAAGATAGCTCTCAGCAATGATTGTATCAAGGCTTTTTCAAAAAATTCAGGAAAGCATTTGCCAACCAAAGAATTCTAGTATTACTGTAGTGAAGAAAATTATTCTTCCTATTCTTTTTCTGTTCAGTGAGGGGAAAAAAGTTTTTTAAAATGTTAGTTTTCATTCTGAAAGGCAAAGGGATTTACATAGAGAATCACTTATGGAACTATACCGTAGGTACATGAAGTAACCAGTTGTAAACCACATGCTTTTACAGCCTGACAACACGTGCGTTGTTTCTGCTATGGGTCAAACCCTGTTTACACTGTTCTGCTAAGTAATCCCGTTCAAATCAATAAGAAAATGTACATGATGAGAGGAGAATTTTGCCTTAAGTCTTCCAAGTTTAGCATTGTTGGATTTTGTCTGTGCTAGGATGGAAATCTTTCAAAACCCAGACTGCCTCAGAAGTTGATGCTCGCAGTTGAATAGGTGGCTCCCTGAGTCAGCATGAAACCACTGAGAGAGCTTAGTGTTAAGAAGATTTTTGTTGGAGGTGCAGCCTTCAGAAAACACCCAAGATCAGTTGTGAATTTTTTTTTTCTTTTATAACCAGAATGTTATTTTGACGCTTAACCAACTGTCAGTTCAGGTGATTATGATTTGCCTATCATGGCTTCCTGCCCAAACTTCAGCAAGACAAGATCACATGTTTCTTTCCTTCACTCTTTATCTTGTGTAGTTAAACAGCGCGTCAGTATATCATGAAATACCAAGTCTCACTTAGAAGTGAGCGAAGAGATTTCCTTACAAGATTTTCTGTGTGCAAGATCCACTGTCTGTTTTAAAGGCGTTTTAGGATTCTTTAAGGAAATCATGCAAGCTAAATGTAGGATTCAGAAGTACTACTATGTAAAATATAAATCTTCCTTAAAAAGGAATATATGACAAATTGGGAACATTGGCTTTTTTTATCTTTTTATAGCTTTGGATTTGTTTCTTTTTTTCTTTTTTAAGGTACAATATGTTATTCAGGGATACCATAAGAGAAGAGAGTATATCGCAGCTTTCCTGAGTCACTTTGGAACGTAAGTCTTCTTTTGATGCCTTATTTTCTGTCGCATGGAGGAAAGTGTTGTTTTCTGCACATGGTCTTTTGTTGTGTGACTGCTGTCCGCTGGATAAGATGAAATGCGGTCATTTTTCACAGAATGATGTGTATAGATTATGTCTCCGTCGCAGTACTGGAATGAAGTCCAGCCTTACTTCACTTCTGTGCTAGTGGCCAGTCTGATGTTACTAGAAAATAGCTGATGATGGGAAAAGGGCGGTAGGGATTTTCTCCTCGTGCAAAAGAAATGTGTTCATTTCTGAACGGCTTGAGGGGCCTTACAGTAATAGGCAGTGACTGAGGCAGGAGGGCGGGGAAGCAGGTATGGTTTCAAGCCTTGCAGGAGCCAGAAACCATTGCTCAGTATAAAGGCAGGACTGGGAGACCAGCTGCTCCTACCATGGAGCAGTATCTTGTCTTGAGAGAGAAAGACTATTGGGTCGTGTTGAATTCTTGCAGGAATTCAAAGATCCATGGCTTGGCATGATGAAGCATTAGCTTCACAAATCAACTAAGCTGGGATACCTTGGCACTGTGAAGGGTAGGCACTTTGGTTTCCCACCTAAATCCTGACTTGAGCGAGAGTCCAGGAGCTGATGCGACAGTGATTGCCTGACCAGCAGTGCTTCGCCTCGTTGAGAGGAGGGGGTTTCTGCTTCCAAGTGATGATACCAAATGATGTAGATATTCGGTAGCCCTTCAAATCTCAGGTCTCTCAAGTGAGGATAGGAAGACAGGTGGCTTCTAGCACACACTCAAATTTTATTTAGCTATAGATAGGTAACAATGACTCAAATTGGACATGTGAGTAGATAGAGTTGATGGAAGCTCAGTCTTTATAGAAACAAGATATTTCTTTTTCTTCCGAGAAAACTACAGTACGGAAATGGCCAAGGTGTGCCTTTGAGTTTATTTCACTTGCGACGTGGTTCATGGGTGCTGGTACTGCTTGAGACTTTTAGAGAGTACCGACTCCCAGTGGTTGAAACTTCTAATCCATCTGCAGAACAAATCTTCTGTCTTCAACTTTTTGTATGTTCTCATACTTTGCTTTTTTTATATATACACTTTTGAATTTTCAAATTTAAACTCTTCTCAGCCTGCATGTTTTGAATTTTACCTTGTCACTTACTACAGAGTTAATAAATTACCTTACTCTGAGTAACATACAGGAAATTTGTGTGCGTATGGTTTTTATCAATTTAGTACTGCAGATGCATTAACAGGTCTCCTTGCATCCTAAAGCATACTTATATAAACTGAATATGGCTTTTCTTTGGGTGAGAAACGCCAATACCATAGAATAAATAAGATTATAAAGTTTAAAAGTTTAATCTAATTTTAATTTAGCTAGAAAATTGTAACTGTTAATAAATAAAGCAAATACTGGAAGTTTCTGAACAAACAAAACCAAAAAACAGTCCCTATAATACAGAATTTACATATTTATCATTCAGTGTTAGAATGCATGGTAGGTAAAAATGTATTCATTTTTTTGTATTTTTTGTTGATAGCGGTGTGGTGGAATATGATGCAGAAGGCTTCACAAAGCTTACTCTGTTGCTGATGTGGAAAGATTTTTGCTTCCTTGTTCACAGTGAGTAGCTCTGCCTCAGGCATAAATGTCTATCCTCTTGAAGATACAAGTTCAAAAGGGAAAAAATACAATTACAGGAAATGATTTAAAAGTTTTAGCTATTTTTACCCAGTGCTTAATGTATTTTTGATGTGGCCATGACACTTTGAAAACACAAAATCCTGATTCTGTTTGGAGAAGGAGAGGGGATCCACATCAGTAGCGTACTGCTTGCTTTGCAGAATACCAAAAGCATCCTGGGAAGGTTTTTCTGGTAATTTAGCTCAAAACTAAGTTCACAGTTGTAACTTATCCTTTCAAAAGTGTCAATAATGAGGACCAATACTATCCATAACCTGGGAATACCTAAAGTCTTCTGTAATTGTCAGGAATTACTATAGTGATAGTAAA